AAAGATACAGAGCAGGAATGATAAAAGCTGCAGTTTACGTTGACACAGAGTACGTGCGTAGAGCTGTACATCCAGCTGCCCCAGGGGAGACGGGGAAGGGCAGTGTGTGAGCAAAGGCCCTGAGGTAGGAAGTGAGGGCATATTTGGGCAAGAATGAGTGCCGAGAAACAGGGTGAGGTTAGAAAGGTGGGGCCAGACAAGGTTAACCAGGCTCAGAAGCCAGACCCAGGAGTTGAACGTAATTCTGCAGGCAGGCACGCTCAGCAGTGGAGTGGCCTCATCAGAGCTGTGCCTTCGGGGGACAAAACGAGCAGCACAGGACGAGGAGGTCTGGTTAGGTCAGAGACACGCCACCAGCCAGGCAGCTCACCCGGAAGACCATGTCCAGATTGCTGTCGGACGCTACAGGATCCTTCAGGAGGGAGTAGTCGATGCCAACCAGCTCATCCACAGAGCTGCGAACTGCGGGAAGGAGCTCAGTCACTCCAGCTGTGTGATGCTGGGCCAGGTGCTCACCCTTCTGGGCCTGTTTCTCACCCACAAAGCGGTGATTATAAATCTTCCCTCACAGGGTTGTTGTGGGGATCAAACTAGTTTTACGCGGGAAGTACTTAGTGCTCAGCAGTATTAATGCCGACTGCTACCACCATCATCATAGGCCAATACAAGGGTTTCCTCAGATCACTGAACAAGATGCCAAGGGAGTCCCTTCCCTCGTTCTCCCTGGCCCCTCCCTCCCTCCCCATGCTCTGTGTGGGGCCTGATGATCTCTACCCCCCAGCAGACAGAGGTCACAGTTTAGGAAAAGGGAATTCATGTTAGTTGAGCACCTATGAAGTGGAGAGGATGAATACAAACAGGGTCCCAGTGATCAGCAAGCCCCTATCGAGGACCTTGACAGTCATCACTGAGTTAATCCTCACAACCCCCACAAGGAGGCATCACCAGCCAAGCGAAGATACCCAGGCCCAGAGAGGAGTACTTACCTAGGGTCACATGGCCAGTCAGTAGCAGAGGCCATATTTGAAGCCAGGGCATGGCAGGGGCCCACCCTGAGGTAGACCCAGCCTCCTCCTCAGCCCCGTTCCAGTCCCAGGCATGGCCCGGAGCTCCCCTCCCAGCCAGCGCCAACTCACCAGGCACTGTGTCCAGGAGGGAATTGAGGAGCACCATCCCTGCGTGGTAAAGCACGGGGCAGATCTGCGAGGTGGGGTCTAGAGTCAGGGCCTTCCAAAGAGAGGGCACCCCCACACACACTGCTGCTGTACCTGCTGGTTGAGGAGGAAGCGCATCCCCGAGGTGATGAATGTGGAGAGGAACTCATATACCTTCCTGCAAGGAGGGGAGAGACCACGTGACCCCAGACTCTGCCCTACCCCAATCCAGATCCAGGAGAAATCAGTGGCCAGAGAGATGGGGAGGAGGTGGCTCAACTTTGACCTGTATTACCGGCTCTTCAATGGAGGTTTTCCAAATCCCCTCGCTAGCCTGATTCTCAAGACCTTTCCTAACCTCTGCCCCCCACCAGCCTAATGAATTTGCCCCCAGTTCTTCAAACCTGCTGTACGCATCCCCACCTCCAGATGCTTACTCATGCCCTCCCTTCCACCCTCAGAGTCCCTGTCCTGTGCTTCCCTCTGTATGGGCTCAGATGCTTCCTCTTCCAGGCAGCCTTCCCAGATTGCCCTCTTCTGAACCCCTGGAGTACTCAGTTCCTCTCTCAAAGCCCCGATGACAAATGTTTTGTCCCTTCAACGAGGCTCTGAGTTCCTTTATGAATCCTCAGGGACTGGCATATACTTTATTTATTCAGTAAATAAAAACTTGACAGTATACCAACACCAGATGATAAATCCACCATCTTTTCTCTCCCACTCTCTTTGAGAGCTATCACAAAGTCCCCTTCTCAGGCCAAAACCTGAAATTATGCTATTGTTTTTATTATTAGTAGTAAGAGCTACCAATTATTGAGAACTCAGTTCATGCCCACCTATGCATACTGATCCTCACAATTACTCTTATCCAGGAAGCTAGCCACTAATATGCCAGGTACTGTTCTAAATATTTTTACATATATTAACAAATAGTCTTTGCAACACCTTATAAAATAGTTGCTATTATCATCCTCATCTTACCAAGGAGGAAATTGAGGCACAGAGCTTCAATGACTTGCCCAAGGTCACAGAGCAAGGGAAATGAGAGTTGCTGAGCATTGGACCCAGTTGGCCCGGCTCCCGAGCCTGTGCACTTTGCATTGCACCCGGCAAACGGCAGTGAGGCTCAAAGGGGGCTTACTTGAAGGTTCCCCCGAAGGCCGCGTGCATTCTGGAGACCGAGGCCTGGCAGGAGACGTTGGACACCTTGATACGGCCAGTGGCATCCCGGGAGAGCTGCAGAGCAGTGCGGATGGACACACCCTCGGCAGAGGCATTGATATAGCCCCCATCATAGCTGCAAGGGGGTGGGGGGCAGTCAATGTCCAGCTTGGAGCTTAACCACGTCTTTGCCACCCACCCCATAAGTCATACCTCTTAATAAGACTTCGCTTCTACCAAACCCTATCAACCCTTATGAAGTGGGTATGCTGGTCCCTACTGTACAGACGAAGAAACTGAGACCCAGGAAGGCTAAAGGACTGCCCACAGCCCCACGGCATCCCAGCCCTCCTGATCCACCCTGCACTCCCCTGAGGGTGCCAGGTCCTCACAAGAACCAGTAGAGAAGCTGCCTCCGGAAGCGCAGCCCCAAGGACGCGTTGCTGATTTGTAGCACCAGCTCCTGCTCCGGCTGGAAATGGAGCTCAGAGGATGTCAGCTGCAGCTCTGTGACCTTCACCCTGCAGGAAGCCTCCGGGTCAGCTTCAGGGCTACGAAGAGGGAGTCCACCCAGCCACAGGAAACTCATTCCCTCCTCTTCCAGTCCAGACCTGGGGAAGCTGAGCTGGGTGGAATGAATTCTTCCACTTTCCCTCAAGTGCCCAGCCTGGACTTGGACAGCTCAGAGATGAGCTTCACCCCTTCTTTAGATGCCTTACTGCTTGCACTCCCTTCCCTCCCACACCCTGTGGTTGCTTGACCTGGACCTGGTCTTTTAGCCGAATCCTTTGATTTTGTCTCCATCAGCTGAGCTACAGATCCCATTTCTCCTATCCCCACCGACCCAAAGAAGGTTCTTGTCTCCTGTTTCCGGGACCTCTCCCATGAGCTGCACCCCGGCCGCTAGACCCCACTCTCACCCATTGGCAAGTTTCGTGACTCCCCGTCTCCGGTGCCCTTTGGTCACGCCTTAGCCCCCAGGGCTTCTGCTTGCTGTTCTTGGTCCCGCCTATGTTGGCTGGCTTGGCCTTTATCTTCTCCGCCCCATCCTGTTTCTTGAGTCCCGCCTCCTCGATGTGGCCACGCCCCTACCCCTACTCAGTTTCCCCGGCCCTAGGCCCCCCCCCGGGAGCCCGAGACCCCGCCCCCCCGGATCCACTACTTACTCCGAGATGTTGTAGTAGAAGTGGCCCTCCCGGCCCCGCAGGTCCGGAATGGTGATGGTCTCCAGCTCTTGTTCCAGAAAGCGCAAGCCCTCCTGCTTCACTGAGGTAGCAGCGAGACCCTTAGGTCCTGCAGCTGGAGCGACCCCTCCCTCATCGGCCCTCACCCGGCCCCGCGCCTTACCCAGCTCCAGCGCCTGGGAGGTGACGCGGGTCTTGCAGCCGGGGAGCTCCGCATGAGCGCCTGCCAGAAGCGCTAGGAGGAGGGCCCCAAAGAGGGCCATGGCGAGCGGGCCTGGGGTGGGGTGGGGTCGCTGAAGTAATCAGGGCCGCTAAAACCCACTCCCCGGTTGTCCAACCAGAAGAGGGACTGGCCGGATCGCTACCCTCGAAAGAGCTCTTCGGAGAACTTGGAACCAATTATATTGCCTCCATTTGGCAGATGCGGAAACTGAGGCTCAGAGAGGCGACGCGACTCGCGCTCTAGCTCCCAGAGGATTTGGGGCACGGGGGAAGGGGAGGGGACATTCTCGGTCCCCCCGTGCACCCGCCGCGTGAAGAGTTTGACCCCTCGGGGACCAACGCCCCCCGCCCCCACAACCTCCCCTTTCCTTTAGCAGAAGGCGGGCGCGGCTTGCCTGTTACCATGGAAACGGCTGCACGCGCATTCCTGCGGGGTGGCTTGCGGTCTCCCAGGCCCCGCGCCGGGGGGGGGGGGGGGGGCGTACAGGGAGCTGCCGGCCCGACCTCGTGCTCCCGGGTCTCCCGGCTCTGCCGGGTCCTAAATCCCTGCCATCGGGATTTGGCCTGGTATCCCCCCCCCTCAAATCAGCGCCCTCCTTAATGGGATCTCTTCCCCACCCCGGGTTCAGTAGACCACGCGGCTCAGCGAGGGCCTGAGGGTGGATGGGGACGCCCCCCAACTCACTGCGGCGGAACTGGGGGTCGGTGCGGTCACGTGGGGCGGCGGGCTGCGCAGGGGATCCGGGCGGCGGGGTCTGGCGGGCTGTGCTGGTCCAGCCGCCTTTATAATGCCGGGCCTCTCCGACCCCCCCCCTCCTGGCTCCCGCTCTCCCCTCCTCCCTCGGGGGTTGGGAGGGGACGGGGCGGACCGCTGGCAGCCGGGAGGGTGAAGAGGGCTGTACGGAGCCCCGTGACAGGCCCGGCTGCTGTCAAGACAAGTGGGGGACCCAAGCCGGGAAGGAGGGAGGGAAGTGCAGGAGTTGGCCCGCCCAATCCCAACAGTCCTTGCTTCTCTGGGACCTCGGTTCAAATTCCAAATGCCCATGTCTTCCTCTATGACCCTGAGCAAGTCACTTCACTTGGGGCACCGCGCCTCAGTTTCCTCATCCAGCGAAATGTGTGGGATACTTGGGACCACCCGCAAAATCAATGCCCAAGACACATTATCTTCCTTCCTTTCCACCCACAATCAGCAAGACTTCTCCTTGCCAGGCTTCACCAGGGGAACCCCCCCAAATGTCTCTATGTCACTACCTAGGGACATAACAGGCCCAGAGACTTCTCCCACTGGGGTCCAAGCAAGTGCTGCCTGCCCAGGTGGGCAGGGCACAGGCTGCTGGAATCACCCCAGAGGGAGGATGGGTGTTTCCCAGGGACTGTGGATTTTGTGTGTGTGTGTACCTTTGGAGCTAGGTTCTCGGCACAGTATCTCCATCTACTGCCTGCTGGGTGTTCCCAGCTCCTGGCACCTGCAGAGTAGGTGCTTGCTACCTTTTTTGTTGTCCGATGGAGGAAAGAGGAAAGGAAAAGCGATAAAGGTGAGTGTCCACTGAACATGTATGTAGCACCAAGCACTCATCCGGGTAGGAATACCAACAGGTCCTGATTTGCCCAGGATCTTCCTAGCTTTGAAACTGAACATCTTCCTTCCAGGGAACCCCCTCGGTCCCAGGCAAACCAGGATGGTTAGTCATCCTAGATCTAGACTAACTTATTTAATCTTCTTAACCTATGAGGTTGGCACTAACATAGACCCACCCTAGCAGGAAACCAGAGGGAAAGACCACCATGCAGCTACTACTGGAAAACCCATGAACTGTGCAAGGGTGGGAGACAGTGTTTATAGCCCAGTAATTAGTGCTTAGATTCTTGAGTCTGACAGACCAGGATTCACATTCTAGGAATTTGTCCAATTCTTGGACCCCTTACTTAGTTTCCTCTTCCTAAAACAGAAACAATAGGTTGTTGTTGCAAGAATAAATTAAAAGTGCCTAGTGCGTGTGCTGAACACAGTACGTGGCACATCATCAGTGCCAAATAAATGCTGGCTATTAAGATTAGGGGCACACACCACAAGCACATGAGACAGAAAGGGTGTAGAAGAGGAAGGAAGAAAGAGCTAAGGATATCCAGAGGAGGAAGTGCCTTCGTGCTTTGAACTCTAGTAGCCTTCATTCTTCCTGGAGCCTGGCTCAAGCAGAAAACCTGGCAGATGTTAGTTTTCTTTCTTCTCACTTTCCTTTTTTTTTAAGATATTATTTATTTATCTGACAGAGAGAGAGAGAGAGCACAAGCAGGGGGAGCGGCAGGCAGAGGGAGAGGGAGAAGTAGGCTCCCAGCTGAGCAGGGAGCCCAATGTGGGGCTCATGGGGCTCCATCCCAGGACGCTGGGATCATGACCTGAGCCGAAGGCAGATGCTTAACCGACTGAGCCCCCCAGGCGCCCCCTCTTCTCACTTTCTTACTGAAATGCAAGCTCAGTTTTTGTATCACTGGGATCTCCTGTGGGAGATTCTTGTCTCCTGCATGTCACTGTCCCCACAGCAGCCCCAGTGAGCTTTAAATGTAGCTACGTGATCTTGGGCCAGTGGTCTAACCTCTCTGGGCCTGTTTCCACATCTGGATTGCTCGTGAGGATTAAAAGCGTTAATGCATTTAAAGGACTTGATGAGCACCTGGCACGTAGTAAGGGCTCAAAAAACGTCAGCTACAGTCATCAGCATCCTTTGCCAGCATCTAGTGGCTTTCGATGACACTCAGAATAAACTCCTGCCTCCGTGCCCTGACTTCCAGGCACGTGACACGTGCACCCCTGTCTTGTCACCCACCCTCTGTCACCCTCCTTTGCTCTGGCTACACTGGCTTTTGCCCTTGCTGTTCCCTCGGCTTGGAATGCTTTTCCACCTGATCTTCCCACAGCTAGCTCCTCGTCATGCTGGCCTCGGCTTCAATGGCACTTCCTCAGAGAAGACTTCTCTGCCTACCTAGCAGTTACTCTCAATCCCATCAGCCTGGTTTATTTGCTTTATAGACCTTGTGACTATTTAATATTGGTTTGCCAAACTATTGGTTAATGGAGACATGGTCTGTCTCCGTGAGAGCTGGGATCTGGCTCCCCACTTATTCCCAGTACCTAGAACAGTGCCTGCACTGAGGAGGTCCTGCCTATTTGCCGAGTCACTAAACTGGTTTGGAGCCCTCAGATGTGTTTGGGGGGCAGGTGATACCTATGCGCCCTGTATTCTTTAGCAACTCCTGCGCCTCGTTTGTCTCAGCCCGACTGACTCTAAACACAGCCCTGGGCTGGGGGACAACATGTACTCACTGGCCTTGAATCCAGGGACTTGCCCTGTCAGCCCGACCCCCTCCATCACACGGGTTTCCCCTTTCTCCCAAAAGCTTGTGCCCCCAACGTGCACACTTCAGTGATATTGGCAGATGGGCAGCCCAGGAAGGTCTTTGGCAACCTCCCCGATTCCTCAACACTTGACTTGAGGGATGAAGAGATCAGAAGGCCCAAATCCCTTTCCACTTTCACTCCTGTGAAGGAGGGACTTCCCAGCACTCAAAGGGACAAGAAAGAAATGCTTTTCGCCCCACATCGGGCTCCCTGCTCAGCGGGGGGTCTGCTTCCCCCTCTGCCCTCTTCCCTCTCGTGCTCTCTGTCTCTCATTCTCTCTCTCTCAAATAAATAAATAAAATCTTTAAAAAAAAAAAAAAGAAATGCTTTTCTAGCCTCTACTGTGCACCCAGCACAGCGATATTGTTTAACCACGAGGAGAGCAAAGCATTAATTAAGCGCTTTGGAATCAGACAGACCTGGTTCAAATCCTGCTTCTGTCATTTTCTAGAGCAGAGGTCAGAAAGCTGTTCCTGTAAAAGGTCAGATAAGATAGTACATATTTTAGGCTTTGCTGGCTCTGTGGTCTCTGTCACAGCTGTTCAAACTCTGCCATTGCAGCTATAAACTAGACTTACATGAACAGACCCCTCGCTGGATTTGGCCCATGGGCTGTAGTTTGCAAACCCCTGTTCTAGAGTAAATTAAAAATTAAGTCTCTTTAAGAGCCTCAGTTTCCACATCTGTAAGTTGGGGATGATCTAGTACCTGATAACCTCTCCGGGTGGTGGTGAGATTTTAAATAAAGTATATAAAGTGCTGGGGCACCTGGGTGGCTCAGTCGGTTAAGCGGCTGACTCGTGATTTCAGCTCAGGTCATGATCTCGGGGTCCTGGGATGGAGCCCTACATCTGGCTCCTCGCTCAGTGGGAAGGATTCTCTTTCTCCCTCTGCCCCTCCCCCAACTCACTCTCTCTGTAAAATAAATAAATAAATCTTTTTTAAATAAAGTAAATGGGGCACCTGGGTGGCTCAGTCGGTTAAGCATCTGACTTCGGCTCAGGTCATGATCTCAGGGTCCTGGGATCAAGCCCCTCGTCAGGCTCCCCACTGGGTCGAGAGGTTTGCTTGTCCCTCTGCCTCTCCCTGGCTCTGCTCTCTCTCTCTCAAATTAAAAAAAAAAAAATCTTTAAAAAAAAGTATATAAAGGGTGCCTGGGTGGCTCAGTTGGTTAAGCAACTGCCTTCAGCTCAGGTCATGATCCTGGAGTCCCGGGATCGAGTCCCATGTCAGGCTCCCTGCTCAGCAGGGAGTCTGCTTCTCCCTCTGACCTTCCCCCTCTCATGTGCTCTCTCTCTCTCTCTCATTCTCGCTCTCAAATAAATAAATAAATAAATAAAATCTTAAAAAAAAAAGTATATAAAGTGCTGAACCTAGTACTTGGTACACTAAAGGACTCAATAAATGTCTCTGGTCATTGGTATTAACTAGTTGTTTAACATACAAAAGTGCTTTCCAGATATTAACTCACTTAAAACTCATAACATCCTGTAAGACAGGTATCATCATCCCATTTTACAGATGAGGAAATAGGGACCCGGAGAGGTTAAGGAACTAGCTCAAGTCAGCCTGACTCCAGAGCCCTTGCTCTTAACCACTCCACTCACTTGCGTCTCTTTTTAAATGACCCCGTTTAATCCTCACAGCAATTCCTTGAGATAGCTGTCATTGCCCATTTTGCAGACTGGCAGACTGAGGTACAGCGGCAGGAAGTAACTGGTCCAAGTAAGTAAACACAGGCTCCACTCACCACAGGACACCAAGTTGGATTTCTGCCCAAGATGTCAACATGTGTAGCCTGACTTCCCCCCACCCCCCCATCACCAGCTGTGTTTTCTTTGGATCCTTGCATGGCTTGGAGAAGCTGCGTCAGCCCATCTCCCCTCCTGACCATTCTCCCGCCCCCGCCCCCGCCCCCACCCCCCAAGCGCATCCAAGCTACCCCCCAGGAAGTGAACCCCCTCCCTCTCCCTGCAGCGTGTGGACAGGCCTGTGTTGGCCTGTGGGTGTGCCTGGGAATGTGCGACAGGGGGCGGGGTTGGAATGAGGGAAGAGGTATGTGTAGGGGGCAGATGTTCGACCAGGAGACTCTGATTACATCTCCCCAAACAAGCAGAATGACGGCGCATGGTGGGAGCCAGACATTTACCAAATGGAGATAAGAGAAACACAGGACTGGGGCTTTCTGAGTTCAGCCAGGACAGAGCTGCTGACTGCCTTTCTGTGGCTTCTAAAGCTTTGGGCACTTGGCCTTTTGGTTTTTCCTTTTCTTTCCCATTTTCTCCTTGAAGACCAGTTCTTTTTTCTGTGGATGGAGCCGGCCACCTGGCCCCCAACCTTCGTCCAGGTTTCAAAGTCAAGCACTCCAACGTTTCTCATGGGGTGTTGCTCCCCAGCTCCCAGGTCCTGTGCACCCCTGT